TGTCACCAGCACCTCCGCGTGGCTGTGGTTGAGCGTGCGCAGCTCCGTGAGGCGCCCGATGAGGCGGGCGAAGTGCTGCGGGTCCTCGGGGTGGTGGATCTTGGAGTACTTGTAGAGGATGTCCAGGAGCGGCTCCTGCAGCTCCTCCACGTGCCGCTTGTCCCTCAGGAGCGGGCGGTCTGCGGGAGGTGGCGTTACCGGGGGGTTAAAGCGGGTTAAAAGCAACGCCAGTGAGTTACAGCGGCTCGTCTCGTGGTTTTACCTGAAAAAAAGACGGTCGCTGCGAGGAGCAGGGCATATTCTGTCTCTGTCACTTTAAGTTCTCCCATGCTTCTGTAGAAGTAAAACAGCGCAGTAATAAACTCCTCGGTTATACCTTGGAAATGAAATAAAATCAGAATGTTAGTAAAGAAATAGGCATTGTGAGTCATCTTTGCCTATTCTTTCAAAGTTCCAGGCTGTTCACCTCATGAAACTGTTAATAAGCTTAGTATAGCTCAAGGGTTCCTTATCCTTGGAAATAAGCAGAGGCAAAAGCCTCCTCCTCCTCCTCCCATGAAGGAATAGTGCCAGGATGGCATCAGATCAGCTCAGAGCAGAAGGGAGAAGTGGGATACAGGCCACAGCACCACTCGGGGTGCTCAGCGAGTTACACACTTCCACATGTCTTTTTCCAGAGGTCTCCATTACCTGTGGTCGTAGTGGAAGTTGGGCTGTCTTCGCTGTGAGACATTTCCATGGAATAAATGGCATTCTTGTCAAGGTTTTGAATGTGGCAACATGTCCCATGCTCAGCAAATCTTCCGTGACCTGCAGCAAGTGTGACAGTTCACAGCTAAACATAATGCTGCTTTGAACATTTGGCTGCATCTGCTTTGCAGGTATGTACCTGAAATTGTGTATATTGTTCTCAATCCCATGAAGAGGGAGCAGATAAATTGGATTTTTTGTTTTTTTGGCATACACCAGCAGGTTTATTTGTTGCGTTATTGCTAGTCAAAATAATCTGTTGTGTCAAATTTATGTCATTGTTATAGCTAATGTTATTCATTCACCTCATAGTTTGTTCTGCAGACACTCACAAATGTTGCTGTTTGCAGAATAAACGGTGCTATATTTGAGTGGACGATTACTTGAGATTCAATGAATAAAAACAAATGGCAGTTATGGCTGAACTACTGGTGTTAATACAAAGCTTATAGGTGAAACTTACTGTCACTTGTTGATGGGCATTCACTAATTTTTTGGTTGTATATCTGGGCTGAACGCAAAAACATTGCTTCAACTGTTGACCCTTTTAGTAGTGCAACTTGATCTTCACTAGCTAAACTTGCAAATCCTGCAGAGAAAGATATTGTTAAGACTTGAAGTTGTGGCTGCCTCTAAGCTCCTAATACAGGTTGATAAAATGACATTTTAATAAATATCTTTAATGGAAAGCAGGAGCACTATTTAAAAGACCTATGTACCAAAGGCTAGACTCTTACTTTTTTTCTTGCTACTTTGCAGACCAAACAAAAAAGATTTTGTGCTTAGAAGATTCAGAGGAAGATTTAAAAAGGCAAAATGGGAATAAGCAAGACTTTATCAAAAATTTGCTCATACCTTGCTATTACCTGATACATGTCACATAACCAAATGCCTTATAAATTTGTTCTATTGCTAAGTGAATGTGAATATTCTTATCCATTGAAATCTGATATTTTTAAAAATTGTATTCATCTGTTCACTAACTCATTATCTATACTTATAATTCTGGAGCAAATTATGTTGTTAATACTGATCAAAGCAGAGTGTGAAACACAACTTCAAGAAAAAAAAAACACACAAATTACATCAAATGTCTGTTTTAGACATGTCTGTTAACTTTTGTCAGAGAAATTTACAATTTAGAGTAATAAATTATCAACATCCCCATCAAATGTTATTTTGTCAATATTAAACTGAATTGCAGTGTATGTAATCACATGCTCCCTTGTTCTTGTATTACAGGAAAATATGAGCAGGATCACCCAGCACGTCCCTCCTGTGCTGCCTTTTCTTTGAAGGTACGTTTCTTGTCTTTGATGACTGCAATGAATTGCAAACTTTATCTTGAGCAAGTTATTATTTTAACACATACTCTGAAATCCAATTAAGTTTGCAAGTGTTACGTGTTTTGAAGTAGATATACTTTTCAGAGAATGTTTTTTTCTGTGTCACACATGGAAATGAAATCTAATTTTAGTAAAAATTTGGAGACAGTCCAGATTTGTCCTTATGAAAGAAGATGTAGGAAACTACTAGCAAGTACTGTCAAATGGTTATCCAGGTCATCAGTGTTTGAAGACAAGATAATCAGTTGAATAAGAATTTTCTGAAAGCGTATATATTTCTTTCAGACGAATGCCACCAGTATGGTATCTGCCTCTTAAAATAATACGTCAGACATACAGTGTAACATTTTCCAAAAGAGGGAACTTACCTGGGAGTCTTTTTGTGAAATCAACTAATACTTGTACATGAACAACTGCTGTCTCGGAGAGACGCAGAAAACTTTCCTCTGGACTTGCAGTTTCTTGTAGCTGCATGAAAGAGACTTTTGATATAAGCAAATATAGTGTTTAGGATAATAATAACTCAGTAATGCAGGGTGATTGTTCTGTATACATACAAACTTCTTTGTTTCCTCAAGGGGAATTGTGTATTTTTGATGTGCTGCTACAATGTGGTCAAGAAGTTGATGCTCCCCTGGAGTGAGTTCCATCTTCTCTGTGATCTGTTAAAAAAGTAAATCAATCCAATGACAATTTGTTAAGGCAAAAATAAATTATAGATACTTCAAATAGAAAAATATCTCACTTTTCCAGGTCTTGTTGTAGATGATACATGCTTACTATTCAGTCCTTCATCTTCTAGTTTTATGTTGCAAAGAAAACTGCTCTTCTGTTTGAAATTTTTTCTGAGTCGCTTTGACTTGCACTGTACTTCAGTCAGCAAACCTATGAGGCATAGAAGTGTGTAGGAATGCACCTTAAAGGAACACTGTTTCCTAGAGAATATGGCAAAACACTATTCATTAGGTGAATTTGCGTTCATTATCCATCAAAGGCCTGAGTGTTTGCTATCTTTTCCTGTTACTTTAGGTGTGACTCTGTAACATGTAAGCATGAGAATGGGAAAAATACTATGCTTTTTTTTTTCTTTCTGCAAAAATGAAATTGCAGTTGTTAGACTTGTGGCTGTCTTGTCAAGATTCACGATATTTAGCTGCCTTTTGGTAGTAATTTTGTGTGTGCGTGTGTAAATGCTTTGAACATCAATCTTCCTAACTTCAGGAGATTCTTTCCCAATACTGATGGTTTCTATGGATAGCAATGTTGCAGATCCTGCAGGCTCCATAGTTAAATTTTCCTGCAGCAAAAATTATATTCAGACCGATACCTCTTAGTTCTGATGAGGAGAAGGGGTAGTTTTTGAGAAATAATCAAGTCTCACAATTTCTAAAAGTAGCCAGCAGAGGAGTACTTACATTCCGCTAGCATTCCCACAGCCTTACACTTCTTCAAGCGACATTCCTGGCACTTTCTTCGCATGTACATGTCCATTTCACAGTGACCACCGTTCTTGCATCGATACACTGCGTTTTTAGTGATGCTGCGCCGAAAGAAGCCTGCAGACAAGAATTGGGTTATGACTGAGAAAAATGGAAGGACCTTTATCTCATAAAGACTTAAAAAAATAATGTTTATTGGGTTTTTTGTTTATTTGCTTTTGGTTTTGTTTTTTTTGACAATTAAAGCATCACCTTGATTTTTAAATTTGCTCTTTAGCAGCACAATAATAATGACTTGTTGATATTTTCTAAGCAATATTAATTGCTATTTTTCCTACCTGATCAAGAAAACTCCCATATAGTAAACAAAAAGTATAGCTAATAAATAATGTAGTATTTTATTTAAATTTTGTGACAAGTTAAAATTAATAATATTGAGGTAACTAAAAACTTTTATGAGAATATCCAAACCTGATTAAACAGGCACAATTCTAGTGAATAACTGATATCAAAATCAGTTGCATGAAATTCTTGTGTTAAATATATACTATGAAAATACTTCTTAAAATTAAATATATTAAAATATTTTCGAAGTTATAATAAAGTGAATCAGGAGTCAGGTTCTTAGAGAAAGGTTTTCTAATACAAATTACAAACCTCTGTAGAAATGACAACTTAAAAATTAACGAAATCTGTTTCTTAAAATCACAGGTGTGAAGTCTTACCATATTATGTTGAGCACTGTGGGGCAACATTCCTGGTTAAGTTAAACGTATTTACCTCTTACCTTTACAGCCTTCACAGGTAAGTGCATTGTAATGATAGCCTGAGGCCTTGTCACCACACACAACACAGAGCTCCTCCTGTCCCTTCATTCGCAAGGAAGAGTGGTTTAATCGTGGCCTTTTGAGTCCTTGATACCCACTGTCATCAATGCGGGAAGCCATGAAGTGGGGCTTGTTTAATTCACAGTTGCTGATTATATACTGCCCGTCACCGTATTGAGAGTCCAGGCCGTATGTGCTGTACTGAGATTGTGAAGGTTGTGGCTGCAGCACTTGAGGAGGATACTGAACTGTGGAATATTGGCAGTAAGGAGCAGTCTGAAAATCTGTGTCTTGCAGCTGATAATTGAAGTGATCTGGTAAAACATCTGGATAAAGAAATTGAGATTAAATAAAAAATAATGGAGAATATCTTGATGTTAGCTACTTCATGGATTTTTTAAAAAAAATCTTATAGATTAAATATTTAAGCATAAATATTAGAAGTATACATTTTAAATGACTCATTCTTTTTAATTGTGCTGCCTGTAACGTTCTTAAGTAAAATCTCGGGGGTAGTAATAGTGGCTTGGTAACAGTTTGGGAATTGTGGATGCCACTCAATTCTTGTTAGTAATCGATTGAATATAATGTATCAACTGAGTATGTAGTTGCACTCAGATTTATATTTTCATACTGTTTTTATTTTATTTTCCTCACTACAGAATAATATTCTTCCTGTAAGTAATTAAATGGGATAGTGAAATGTGTGTTAAGAAAGCTCATGCAGCATATATATCATGTTCAATTTTGTGCTTGTTCAAATCTCTCTATTTTTAGAGATTTATTTTTAAATTGAAGTGTTGTTTTTTTCTTTTTTTGAAGAAGATTGAAGGTCTTTCTGTTTCTAGTAGACATTAGGTCTTGCTTTCACTCATCCAAAATTAGATTACTGATTGCAATTATAGTTATATTTTTTTATAGTTTATATTTTGTGCAAGTCAAAAGGGGGTACTGTAATCTTTATATGAATTCATCTGTCAGCTATTTAAGTTTTGTACAAAAATCAGTTTAAGCACAGTCTAGTATATTTGAACATAATATGGACTTGGTAGTGAAATATGTGGCTTTCTAATAGCTTTGTAAAGATAAACTAAAAAGAGGAAAGGAATGATAATTTCCACAGATCTTCATTTTTCTATGCTGCTTTTTCTTAGTTTTAAAATTCTGCTTTACTCACCGTAGTACTGAATGGGCTCAGCAAGACAGTACCCATCAGGTACTGTGACAAATGTATTTGCCATATTTTCCTCAAAATTGCACTGTTTCATCCACTTTGGTGTACAGTAGACTTTTGAGAAGGAAACCTAGAAAAATGGAAATGTAAGGGAAATATCACTTGAGGAAAAATGGATGGGTATGATTAGCTAGGGAGCTGAAAACAGGAAATTTCAGTGTATGAAACTATTTGACTATTTCAATGTATGAAACATCATAAGAAAATCAGAGAGAGGTGGAAATTCACACAATATTTGCAGTGAGTTTACAAAATGTTGGCCTGTACTAATAAGGCTTGTACTAATAGGGATTGGGTATAGAGTCCATTTATGCATCTTCAAGGTGTATTTAGACCTGAATTTAGACTGAATTTAGTACTGTATTTAGAACTCTTCAGCTAGTGATTTTACAGAGAACAATTTGGGGAAACAATTTACACCTAACCTTTGGAGAATCTTCAACAGGAAGAAATTAAAAGGAGCTTTCTTGGTAGAAAAAAAAGAATGTTTGCAGAATGAGTTAGGACATGAGCAAAGTGTGAAATTTGTGGACTTCCTGATTCTTCACAAAGATTGGCTTTTAGTAACTTCACTTCATGTACTTTTTTTTTCTTTGCCTCACTTAACCACGATATAATTTAGATTAGGTTACACATTTAAAAGTTTGTCTTCCTTCAAGAGTTGACGGCCTCATCTGAAGGGCCAAAAATCAAAGGACCTACGTAGGATGTACTGCCATCTGGAGTTGTCTTTCTCTGTCCCTTCATAATTGAAGGAATCCGGGCTTCCCATCTGGGTGCTTTGACTGTCTATATTAGCCTTATATTTGCTGTAACGTAGTGCACTAAGCTTTCAGTGACCCAGTCAGTGCAGAATACCCGTCTTACTAAAACTGACTCAGTTACTTTACTTTGTAGGGAGGTTCTAAAGAAGTGTTCTGAAAATTCTTAAAAGAGAGCTTAAGAAAAGAAAAAAAAAAAAAAAGAATATCTACATGGAGATCAGTGGCAGCTGGTTTTGAGTATATTTAAATACAGGCAAGCTCTAGTATTACTTCAGCAGTTGGGTGATCCTGGGGAAGCCGCTGCAGTGTTAAGTAGGAAATGTTTTCTTTGGCCCTTCTTTTTTCTCTGCATTGTTGAATGTTGGCAAAAACCTCACAGGTTACAAGTATGTTGTGTCCGATGCCTATAGAAGAAAAACACTCTGCAAGACTCTTTGTGAACCTTTCATAGGTTTTCCTTGAGCAAATGGGAAGGACAAGAAGGATGAAAAAGGCAAATAAATATTTGGAAGAAGTAAGTGGTAGGTGTACCACAGGACTATATATTATATGCAGAATTAACTAGTTGGGTTTAAATATCTCTGAAAGCCTCACATGTTAGGCTTGGTGTGATTCCTGTGCCTTGGTGTGATTCCTGTTACAGCTGAGAAACTCATTTCAGAGAATCTGAAGTCATTTCCTGAAATATACGTGTTCTTCCCCCCAAACTGACTTATCTTTGGAACTGAACACTTTCCCTGTGTTGCCAGCAGAAGGTGAAAAGATGCAGTAAGACTGGAATGCTGCTTTTATATTATCTCTACTAGTAAATATTTGGTTGAAACAGAAATGACTCAGTGAATCAGGAGGTCCTTATCAGCAAGATCAATTTGGCCTGGGCAAAGTCTGCATTTTTTTCCATCAAAAAAAAAGTGTCTTTGCTAAAGAAATATGTTTCTGGATTCCAGTAGTTTCTTTAAATAGTAATAATACTAGAAAATTATTAGAACATTAAATCCCATGTTTATTTGAGGAATGTTATATCATCTTGAAATGAAACTTAATTATCAGAATATCTTTGCATAAGATGTTAATAGCAGTATTTCCTAACGTTTGAGAACTGTTCTGAAATAAAATTCCACTGGTCTTTTTTAAAACAAAATTATAGCAAATGAAACTTAATTCTCTAAGAAAAGTTTTGTGATACGTAAGATTGACTGTAGTAATCATGCCTTACAACCTTTGCCCCTTTGAAATATTCTATTCTTTTTTTTATGTGAATCCGTCAGTAGGACAGAAGCCTTCTCTGAATTTTGGGAGTCATTGAACTTTTATGATGCTATATACGCTGATCTCCGAAGAGTTCAGCAACCATCCCTAATCTCTCGCACCTCACTAGAAGGGAACAAGGACTTCAAGGACTTCTCCAGCCCACACACATATACTTTAACCCTTTGCCATACAACAAAGTAAATTTTGCCTATGCACAAAGCTTAGCTATGGACTCTGAGGTTGGTGGAATCCTTGATAGAACATAGCACACATGTCCAATATTTAATTTTTCAAAACAATAATTTGGACAAATTTGAAATCAGACTAGACTGTCAGTGACAGCCATGCTATTCCCAAAACATAGTCCTTTATATCCATTTTTCTCCTGAGTACTCAAAATACAGTTGTACTTGTGTGTGTATGTGTGTGTGCCTTAGAAAGAAAAAAGAAATATCTTCCAAGAGATGATAAAAATTTGTAGGATAATAAAAAGTTGTAATAATGTAATTGTAAAAAGTTGCAATCATTTAAAACTAAATAAGAAGAAACCTTCAGTAACCTGTTTTGCAGAACACAATCATTAATGCAGTTAGGATGAAATTCTTAGTTCTTTGTAGAGCAAATTGACTTGGGACTTCATTTTTACCCAGAGGAAGATACAACTTAGAGTCTGAACTGCTTAAGCAGTTTTGACCAAGTTGTTCTTTTATAGATTTATTTTTGTCAGTGATCAGTCTTCTCAACAAATAACCTTCAATATACAGTGAATATGTGTTGATTCAGGAATTTGGTTACCCATCTAATATAGAAATTCAGCAATTCAGTTATTGGTTCTAATGGAGAGACTTTTAAATTCATCAAAAAAGGAAACTTCTTTTTCCAAAGCAGTTAATTAATGAAAGTAAGATGTGACCACAGAACAGTTAATAATTTAACAGAACATACATGCTTGGACTAAAATACATATGGTAAATCTGTTTATTGTTATTTATGGCATAAGCTGTTTTTATAATTTTTATTGCCATAAAATATTTTATCATAAAATATCATCAACTTGTATTATCATCAAATTTATTATGAGGCAAAGTATATTTCTTACAGAAGATTCTCCAGGCAGCTCTTCAAGATGTCTATATTGTTATCATAAATACTTCGACAGCTGTGTCACAGGGATTTTTTTTGTTTAAAGGGAATGTTAGTAGCTCAAGCTGGAGCCTTCAGCATATATCTAGCATACCTTGTAGGAAGCATACTGAACAAGCAGTGATGCTAGGCAGTATGTTTTTATAACAGTGATAAACGTGGTGCTTTTTTTTTAATGGGAAGCATTTTTAATACTTTTTTCCAAAGGTATGATTTTTATATATATATAATGAGATTAGAGATTTTTTTGTAGTTTATGGTTTTCGTAACTGAAAGCTTGGGGAAGAAGGCAAGTAACTAAATTACTTTACTCTGTATGTCAGACACAGGTAATTCTTAGCAATAAGTCCCATCGTGATTGTGATGAGAGCTCTTCAGGCCCACAGTCTTTCACAAAATATGAATGAAATCATACTATTTAGTGTTGAGATTTGGTGTTTCACTCTACTATCTGTAAAGAAAATTACATCCCCTCATCCTCCAAAATAATCGTGCACCTCAGAGCAGCATATGTAATTACAGTACTGCTGTAAAAAATTCTTGGCAGCTAGGATACCTAATTTTAAAGCGTATGTTTTCTATTCTAATCAGCTGTTTTAAAAGCAAGAAAACAAACAAAAGCCTCAGATATTTTCACATGACAAATTGGTTTATGGCTAGAAAAATACTTTGCAATTCCAAAGCATTCAGAGCAGTGAATGAAATACTTACACTAGCTCCAGAGAGAGTCTCTTCTTTCCAGAGCAAATCTGTTGGGATGTAGCAGTGATTCCAGCTCCGCTTCCCGCTGTAGCAAGCCGGGCCTTTTCCCTATTTATCAGTTCCTTTGCATACACGAGGCTCCAGACACTCTGCAGAGTAAAGCTGCAGGCTCTGAGACACGAACTTCCCACACAGCCTTTCCTGGGGTCGAAGCAAGGGCAGCTGCAAGTCCACATAAATCAAATAATAACTGGGTCATCAGGGACAGAGGCCATGAGGACCCTCACGTCACTGTTTCCCAGAGTTCTCCCAGTTCGATTACTAAATATTTTGCTTTCTTGGTAGAATCTGAAACTGTCCCATTTAGATTGCTTAACATCAGCATATCTGAGTGTTAACAGATAATGCTCACTGCTTGGTCAGAGAAAATAGCACAGTAGTATTACTTGGATATCGCTACGGTACCTGATAATGGAATTTGGGAGCATTTGCCTAGGGCAGTATCTCCAAACACAGAACACTTACCTTGTTTTCTATATTTTAACTCAGAAATACCTGTGCAACATATTGGGATTAATCTGTACCTTCAGAAGAGGCAATGACTTCTTAGCAACTTTTGTTGCTATTAATTTTGTAAAATTTAATTCTTACAAAAGCAAAGAAGTTTGTTCTTTGTGAACATTTTCTTACAAATTAATCATTGCAACTTGGGGCTTTCATCACTTCCTAGATATGAGATGTGATCCTTCGGACAAAGGCATTTTCTGGTTAAGCATCATGTCATGAGACTTGCTGTCTAATATGTTACATAGAAGATGGCAGATATCTTAATCCCAGAAAAAGGATCACCTTTCTTCTGTGTTAAACATATGTATTAACATTATTTTTACAGATCAGTTCCCTTCTTGAAGCTTAGGCTGGCAATAAAAATGTGAGCCCTTGGAGTCTTCTTCAAACACATAAAGAACTGCTGAAAAGAGGAGGAAAATAAACTGTTTTTCATGCTTGTAAAAATGCAAGCAATAAAAAGTTTATTTAGGAACAAGGAGCATTTAAATGAGGTAATAGAGGACATACCTATAATGGTAAAAGTAACAGTTATTTTTACAAAATATTTATAAACAATAATAAATTGACTGTGTATTCATCATCACTGGAGCTTTTGTAGATTAGATTGGACTAATTTAGAGAATTTATGAATTGTTCTTTCAGAGTTAATGTGAAAGGAGAAGAGACTTCTGAGGTAGCTTCTAGCTCTATTTTCTGTACTTTTTCTTGCATAGGTCATTCTTGTAAAATGCTGCTAAGCCGTCTGATACAACAACATGATACAACAACATGATACAGCAACATGCCTAATTGCATTTTAATATGAAAAGTAAATCACCGCATGCTTCAAGCAAGCTTTGCTAGAGGTGCCTTTAAAAAAAGAACAACAGAAACCTGTGACTCTGACATGGGCTGAAAATAAGAGCAGATATGTGCGTGTTGTGAGCCTGAATCTTGGCGCAGAATAAAGGATGCATGTTCTTCCTGCAGAATAATCACTTCTGATGATGACATGAGTGTTGCCTGAGCACCTCATGTCATCCTACTTTAGCAGCCTCATTTCCATCATTAACCTGTAGCATCTCTAGTCTCAGCTGCATGGGATGGCTACCTTCATGCCTTTGTCTAGAGAGTTCAAAACTGCAGATCAGAACAGAGCTTTCTACAGATCAATCTGTGTCAAGAGAAATTATTTTCAAGCAGAAATTATTTTTAGCAGAATTCTCTGTTCATCTGAACTGTCTTTTCCAGATCCCTGTAACTCGGTTGGTATTTGAATAGTTAAAGGAAATCCTATCTTCTCCAGCTGGGTCTTCTCCACATAACTGACCCATTCTGCTTGATCTGGTATTGGATTGTTTACGCAACTTTAGTAATTAACCACTATCAGCCTCATTAATGAAACATAAACCACCTCTTCTGGTCATTTATAAAGCACTTGTCAAACAGAAATTAAGCAAAGGGCAGAATCCCAGCACAGTAACAGTCCTTCAAAAGCTACTGGGACTCTGACTACAAGTCATTCCGGTCACTTTGGTCACTTTGTTGTTGTTTTTTCAGTAAAAATAAAGGACAACTGATGACATTGTCTATTGCTTTTGGCTAACTCTCTACGAAAGCATCTGAGATCTGTCACATAAGGGCAATGATGCCTGGCCAACTATTTTAGCCATTTTAGTGCAAAATACTCATGTTCCTGCTCATTACTGTAAATCATTAAATGATTAAAGCAAGAGTCAAATACTAAGCAGTTGGGAAACCATGGAAAACAATTGCTAATTATGGTAATGGTTGTTATATATGAGTTTAAGATTATATTCAAATATAGATTACTTCAATAAGGGATTACGGCTCTCCTGTTAGTAAACTGCTCTGAACAACATTAAAGAAGGTTGAGTACTAACAGCTTATATAGATGTTTAGGCTTTGTCTTTACCTATTTTTAGTATTAGAGAAATAGTCATAGAAGTAGAGTGAAGGAGTAATTCATAGCAAATGTGTGTTCTGAGAACTAAAGTTGACAGTTTCTTGAGAAACCCATGAAAAACATGCAGGATTTCTCTTCACCCTTTCTCCTGGTTTATTTACTAATCTTAAATGGTGCAGTGGGTCTGGCACTGTTAGGATATTTTGCTCAATCAGCACAAAACCTCATGACTGACATTTTTTGGATGTTGATGTTATCTTGTACTTCTGGCTCTCAACAGAGAGAAAGATTTAGTTTGAATAGGATGTTCATTTGTTGCATGTGCAGTAGTTTTAGCTGTTGGAGCATGTGTTCAAAGGTAATATCAGGGCTAGGAGCTACTGTAGTAGGAAATTGTCCTTTGCTGCCTTCTAGGCATTTTGCATGCAAAACTTTGAGAGTCAGAGAAAGCTCTTTCTGGAATAGCATCAACCTCTATACAGGCATCAGCTCTGAAGAGGATTGCAAGGAAGGGAAGAATTGCAGGACTGTCTGTCAAAGGTGACTTGTTTAATATTATTATGAATCCAAAAAGTGATTAATCTAGATGTTTGATAAACACACGCTTGTTTTATTGTCAATATTTGCCTCTCTCTCCTGCAACAGAGTGTTCATCTTTGCTGGTTTCACTTGTGACTTAAGAATATCAGTGTAGTAGGTCAGCCTCAGCCTTACTGAAGTGCTTTAGGTCCAACATAATACAAATGATAAAACAAAGCATGAATGTGAGATTTTATTGGTAATACAAATGATTCACCATATGCTGTGCTGCTTCTATAGATTTTAAGCGTGTGCTCTTTTGGGCAACAAGGTTTGTATGTCATTTCATTTGACCTCTGCTTTGCAAAAGCCCTTATCATCCCTAAAGGTATTTTTAAATACAGCAGTATTCAGCAAGACACAATGTGGATATACACAATGAAGGTATAACCAAAGCTTGATTACACTTTGCTTCAATCACGTTAAAATTGATAGTTAGTAGGGAACACTTGCAATGTGTCTTCAAGCACTGAGATTCTTAAATCAGCAAAAGTACATTGAAGAAAAGCCAAATTGTGGGCCTAATTTTCACAAAGCAAAATGTCTTGACATTCTGCATTAAGAATTATAAAATAATTATTGTGGAATCTCTCAGTCAGCATTTTGTCAGCAGTTGAGTGTTGCTACTGGGAGACTAAAATAACTGGATATATCAATTTATCAATGATAATGTTTTTCTTGCATCCTGTATTCCATCTTACGGACATTTGTTTTGATAGTAAAAAGAATATTAGGCTCATTAATGTAAATGCTGTGTTGCAATGGATGACTCGTCCAGATTTGTGAAAGCAGGATAGTTAAGATGAACAATGAGACTGAATTTCTTGGTAAGAATGTTTGTGACAGAATTTCTCTGTTTTATGCAGCAGTTTTTTACCTTGAAGCACAGGGTTGGATGTAGAAGAAGATTCCTGTAGTCTTCTAGTCTACAAGGTGTGTACTCCAGATCTTGTAAAACGCAGTACCTGTGAAATCATCACAGAAACTGATAATTACGTTAAACCCATCCTTTAACTGTAAAAGCAAACAATCCAACAGTTTTGCAAGGCGGGCAGGAGAGAGAGATAAACGCCCTCCAATCTCTGTCACAGATATTTCTACAGGTCACTTCCATCCATTTTTAACCATTATTTGCTCCACTGTCAATTTTTGGGTTAGTGTAGAGCATTACACGGCACACATAGTCTGAACATCCAGAGCAGCAGTCCCCGAACTCTTCTCAAATCTCCATGTAATACCTTGTGCCTCACAAATTGCACAACTGCCACCCGCTCCGTTTTGACCCACACGGAGAAACTACTACCAGTCCTTTTTGTCGCTCCTCCTATACTTCTGGTTTGCCAGGAATCCTTTCCTTTTAGATTTTCCTCCTCTGTGCTAGATTCACCTAGTGAGCTTATACTCAGAAATCCTGCTCAGAAAATCCATAAGAGAAATACTGCTTATGAATTTTCGGAGGTGGCCTAGAAAAGTTTTTTTGTTCTTTAGCAGCTCTACTGTTTTGGAGAGCACCAATATGCTGCTATCTAGCATGAGCATTTCCTGCTAGACCAAATCCATGCTCTGTCTGACAAAATACAGCCATGTGGTTAAGAGTTATTAAAAGCATTAAAGCATTAACCTCTTGTAACCTCATTTTTTACTTTGTACACATACATAAGTGTTTAATCGAATTGAAGTTAAACACTAAAAAGTTTGAGAGGCCAAATTTATACATTCTCTTCAGTTTATACAGAGCTGATATGATAAGAAGCAAAAGAATTAAAATACACCAATACACAGAAAATGCATCTGTTGATTTCTTTAAGCTCTGTTGCTAGATGCTACAAGTTTGGTAACAAGCATTCCCAGCGTTTAAATCAAGGATCTTTGTCCTCCTGGGATCTGATCTGTGGCCCTGGTGCCACTCTAGCTCATTCTACTACCCTTTCAAATTTAACAAATGATTTTATGTCAAAAGATTTTCTGGAGAGGGAATGAGCCCAGTTCCTGAGTGACAACACAGACTAACCGCTGTGTGGATTTAGCACAGTAAACTCTGTCATCTCCTGAGTGACAACACAGACTAACCGCTCTGTGAATTTAGCACAGTAAACTCTGTCGTCTTCTCATTCTCATTTTGGTTCAAGCAGTCACAGTGTCCAGAGGGATTGACCTCACTCTGCCATGGAAGTCTCATAGAGCAGTCACGTCCCTTTTGTGTCCCTCTTTGCTTGTCACCTCTTGGCATGAAAACTTTGGTTATCATCCATCGCTAAAGGAAAACAAAACAACCAAACAGACCAAATGCCTGAAGGAAAGTATAAATATAAGGAACAGAATGGGCCAAAAACAGAAATTCAGACATGCTCTCGAGGCGCTGAGGTGTAATGATGCTTCATACTAAACAAGACATGTTCCTGTAGTCGGTTTCCTACGGATACGAACTGAAATTTCTGGTGCTGTACTGGTGCAGACTCAAGTTAAAACACTATTTTTGAAACTATTAATAATTTGGTAATAATAAGAAAGCACTGTGGCACAAAGTCGAGCTGACCATCAAGGACATCGCAGATCACCAACAGTAGCTCAGTTAGCAAATAAATAACAAAGAAGCAAGTCAGCACTACTGAGCTTCTGTTATTTTAACTTGAGTAGAGGATGTTTACTGTTAAAAGAGACAAACAAGAGTATTAGATAAGATGACAGCTCCACAGATCTGAGCCCGGAATTTATCACAGACTGTTTAATGGAGTATTTAAATAGATAACCAGGACTCCCCTGGGTCAAGGACGTGTGCCCTCCTGTGCACAGAGCAGCACTGCGTTTGCACAGCACCTCAGCTGGCACCTCTTCATCTCGAGTCCCTCTTTTGTGGAATATTTGGACTCTCCCTGTTTGGTCAGGAGCACCTGGGGATCTGCAGGCGTGTTGGAGATCCGGGGAGGGGAAACAGCCGGCATTAGCCTTCTGTGAACAAACACAAAAGAAAGGCTAAGACATCCATGTGATTCAGATTCGCTTTTTAACGTTATTCCCGCAGCGGGGCCGGCCTCACCGAGAAGGCTGCCGGAGCCGTAGCTCTCCGGTA